TATCCCATCTGTATGGCATTTGTATTAAACTAGAGCATATATGAGGTTGCTCAAAGGAAATGGCACAGTCACAATTTGTTTTATATTTCTATAACCAATGATAGAATGCGCGTAGCCATGGTATATGTACCACAAAACTAATTGAATATATATTTTGTAGAAAATAAATATTTTACCGAAGGCAAATAATAGTTAATGTCCACAAGGTTTATTGACAAAAATAAAAAAAATCATTCTTATTTATTATTTTTATTATTCTTTCTTGTTTATCCGCACAAGACACAGCTATTTTTAAAATGCCAGATTTACAAGTAAAAATATATTTTCAATATTACGGCTTGAATATCAAAAATAAACCTGACAAACGTTCATGACAACCAAATATACCAACTATAATCCTTAATAATGGCTTTTTAGTAATTTTCCATGTTATTGGTTAACAATCTGCCTGAAATTAACATCAAATTACAGACATCAAACATTGATTATTCTCAGTGTTTTGATTCACAAAGTTTAGGAAGCTTTTAGACAAAAATGAGTAACATCCCATTTCATAAATGTTGAGTTTACAATATCATATACTAAACTAAATCATGTCACATAAAACATAACAGACATGTTGAAAACCAATGCGTTTTTACCAATGTGAATTGAATTGAGAAAATAGCAATTGTAATAATGATACATGGTATATTCAAAAGAACTTGAATTTTTCCAATGATTAATCGAATTTATCCTTAAATTCGGTTTCAAAATATGAGGCCTGTGTTCATTACCTAAGATGCACTCATATGCCATAATATTCCAAATGTGTATAAATTTGCCATTATGAATTGCTCAGGGCATCTGTTAATGAATTATGTATCAAGTTCATCGAAAATTTAGACCATTAAAACCAGATTTGCTATTTAAATGTGTTTAATCTACTCATATTTGATACATTTGTTGGACAAAAGATAAAATGAGACCATTTCACGTTATATGTTCATACCATGCATCAACTATAAATATATTTGTTTTTTTGCACTATTAAAATATTGTGCTATGTGTAAAAAGTGTTAAATATAAAAAATAAAGTGAAGTAAGTAAACTCATACATTTGTAGCTTGAGGTTGATAGTAAACACATCACGTGATTATGCATTTTAGAAATAAAATTAGGCAGCATAATGAATATGATTCTCGACTCGGATTCGCTAAGTCCAATCGAATATATGAGTGTTAACCCGATCAAAATAAAACACTCCTTTGGTATAGAAATTTAATGCGACAAGAGAGTCGTGTTATACATGCCTGGACTAAACAGGAAATAATTTTGTCGCATGGCTGATTTAGAATTGTATTTATTTATTTATGTATTGATATGAATATTAACGTGACAGTGGCGGATTCAGAAGGGGGCAGGGGGGCATGCCCCCCAACGCATGACGATCCATATCATCTGGATTACGTATAGCTTTTCCGCGATTTACGTTCCGTATATCTTAAACGAAACTTGGACCCCCCAATACACTTTGCTGGACCCGCCACTGTAACGTGAATTGTATATTTAACTCGTTCCAGGTTTAAGTATTCTAAATGAATTTACTATAATGGTTTTCACATCAAAATGTGAAGATGGTTAGTAACTATTGACAGCAAATATTAAAACCACATATAAACCACGGACACTTGAATATTATGTCTTGTTTATACACCGGTGCACTATTTTACAATGGATTATGTGTATGTGTCGTATGTACCAACCGTCACCTGATAATACTGTTGTATGTTTTAATGTTGTACCTTCTGTTGACTCAGGTTCTGCGGTTTCAGCTATAGTAGTTTCTTTTAGGGTCGTCGGGAACAACGTAGTAAACGGCACATCTGAAATTAAATAGTTTAACAGCTGTTAGTTTTATTTTGTATGATTATTATACAGTTTCAATTCCAAACTGAATGCTGTATTTCATTTCGTTTTTATATTTCCACATGGTAATCATATAAACGCCTATGTACGCTTTTCTATTCTGCAATCAAATTCCCGAGCCTTAAGCCTGTTTGCCTGTTTTTAGAGGAAAATTACCCGATCATACATCCCAGTCATGACATATTTCTCACATGTCATAACACTGATTTCCAAGTCCCGAAATATGGAAAGTGAAATGAAGTATGGTATTTGTTTGGGCATTTGTATATATTTGACTGATCACTGTGAAAGACAAACTTGTCAACATTGTCTCAAATTCGTACTGCCTTCTGTGTTCATGTATTTTCTGTTTGTTCATTGACGTATGTTAGTATATCTGTTTACCATTTTGGATTGTATTACGTTGGAACAAGTAGTTCAAACTTTGTTTTATAATTCAGCTGCATCTGTTTTTAATCAGCCAGAATATATTCGGGATGCATTACACAAAATGTATGGGCATATTTGCTCTTATCATTAATTTGCAAGAAGACGGATAAATATTGTACACTAAAGCCATTACAGTATACAATGTTTGAAATTTCTAAAAAAATAGTAGAATGCATCTAGCCATGGTATATGTGCCACAAACTAATTGAATATATATATGCTGGAGAAAATCATGTTTTGCCATAGGCAAATCAGAATAATAAGTAAGGCTCCCTAGCACTGTTGCCAACAATAAAGAAATACATTTTATTTGATTTTTGAAAATTCAAGAAATTCATTTTATTTGATTAAATATACACGTACAAATTGTTAATTTTTCTTTTTTTTCCGACACAAAACACCGCTTCAAATGGCAGATTTACAAAGACAAATATACGCTTGAATATCAAAAATAAACCTGCCATTTGTTATCTAAGACATAAACACTTATTAATAAACAAACGTTCAAGACAACCAAGTATACCAACCATAACCCTTAGTCATGGCATTTTATTTATTTTGCATGAATTGATTGACACTCAGCCTCAAAGTAACATAAAAATACATACATGAAACACTGATTATTCTTAGTGTTTCGAATCACAAATTTTAGGTAGCTTTTAAAAAGAAATCCTATTTCCCATTCATAAATCTTGAGTTAAAAAATTCATATACTGAACCAAATTTGAACAAACAATCATGTCACGTAATACAAAGCAGACATTTTGAGGACTAATGCGTTTTGATCCAATTTTAATGAAGATACATGGTACATTCAAAGCGACTTGAGGCATTCCAAAAAGTAATCAAATTCATTTTTAAATTTTGTTTCAAAATATGAGGTTTACCTAAGATACACTCATATGCCATAGCATTGCAAGTGTTAATATATATAAATAAATAATGAGTGTGGTATAAATACCTGTGTTGATAAAGCCTACGGTGGAATAATAGCTTGTTGTAGAATCATTATCAGATATAGTTGAGTCTGAAAATAAAATTGCATTTTAAATGTTACTAGTCTATATTTGATACATTTGTTAGACAAAAGATAAAGTGAGACTATTTCATGTTATATGTTCATACCATGCATCAAGTACAAATATATTTTTATTTTCATTATTAAAATATTTTCCTACGTTATTTTGTTATGGTAAAATTACTAAGATTCTACTGTAAAATTAGTTTAAAACTCACTCGTTATGGTTTCATTAACTGCACTTGTATTTAGAAGTGCGACTATAAGTGATGCAGATAGTGCGGCAAAGACGCCTGTGCCAACGATTGCAGCACATATCATGCAGAGTATGATAGGTGAACATAGACCATCCTGGAATGAAAAGTAAATTTGATAAGAATTACTCAAAGATATGCTGCATGATTATTCAACTAACTTCTGCTATAATGCAATAAAGTTCTTGTGCATTAATGGAAAGGGTGGTGAATGTGGATATATGTTCGACTTTTATTGAGTTTCATATGTTGATTATACATCTCCATTTCAATTATTATGAGCCCAAAAATGTATGAAAATGAAGTATCATTTTTGTTTATGTTGGCTATCACAAACTATGCACAAATTGTCCACTGCTCAGATATGATGTTGTTCTTTGGACTAATTGATGTCCATGCCAATGTTTGTGATTGTGAATGAAGAACACATAAACATATACTTACATCGTCATCTTCCGGTTTGGTTGTATGAACTTCAGGGTTGTTCATGATGACTTTCTATGGAATGGAAAAATAGTAGTAAGTATATAAATGCAAACATTTGTAGTTTTATGTCCACAGTAAATACACCGCGTGATTATGATATAATTATGCATATTCGAAATAAAATTAGACGACATCATGAATATGAGTTCTCAACTCGGATTTGCTAAATTCAATCGGATAATTGAGTGTTAACGTGATCGAAATAAAAAAAAAAACGTCCTTTGTATACATAGCGATTAATGCAACAGAAGAGTCAACCGCATATAAATCGGACACTTAAATATTATGTCTAGTTTATACACCGGTGGACTATGTCACAATGTAGTATGTGTATGTGTACCAACCGTCTTCTGATAATGCTACGTATTTCATATATGGCCTTTGACCTTTTATTCTGTTGTTTCATACGTTTTCCATGCCATTTTTATCTTATCTCTACCATACATGGCTCTATAAATGTACTAGACTAACTGTTGAAAAGCAAATTATATCGGCAAATATACTGTGCTATCATGGGGGCGCGGGTTCTTCATGGGAATACAAATTGAACAACACATGAAGTACAGTTTGAATAAATTTATTGATTCGAATTGCCATGATAACAGGTGTATCAGAGTGTCCTGTAATTACCATCTTAGAATTTTATTTAATATTGTCTCTGTAGTGCAATAAACATTTATCTTGTACACGTTTTATCTGATATATTGCCGTCTGAAAGAAAAATCAAATTATAATCTGTATTCATCATGCAACAAGGTATTATTGATAGTGCAGTTTTAATTATCGTATTAGTGATTTGTTTTTTTGAAATCAATCAGGAAGCTGCACTATCACAAATGCCTTACAGTTAAAAAAAGAGTCTTACACACTCGGTATTAGCATTATTAGTAAAGTTTATCCGACTCACTACGCACTTAAATGTACCAGGTCAATTAATGTCAATTACATCTAGGCTGTTGATGTGACAATGTACCTTGATACAAATTTTACATGTTGCGTGCATTAATGATGTATGTCGGCTAATTAATTTGTTTATATCTATTATTCTACTTTCAAAATAAATCAATGTGAAAGTAATTCACAATGTCAACGTCAACCTCCTGTCGACGATGTAAATATCATCAACGATGCTTGTATTTACAGAGGAGTGTACATTATACCAATACTCACATATAATCTATACTATTTTTAGATGATTATATGACAATCTCCATAATATCGCGTTCTAATGAATAGGACTGTTTATGATGTTTAGTATATTATTCTTATGTTTTTTTTTTAAATTTGTTAAATGGGTCTCCAAAACATAATTTACGTAAAACGTCGATTGCAGTGTAGATCTGCCTGTGTGATTTTGGAATGTCTGAGTACCGTGTTTTCTGATTGGTTATTTTGTATCAGTCGCTCATGGAGCGTCAACAAGTAAATGCAGAGTACACATGCTATACATATGCTTATCAGTGGTCATAAACAAGTGTAATATCAACACTGAAAACACAGTGTTTTTCTACGTTCGCAGTGATAAGTGAAACTATTTTCGGTGCCTTTATGCACGATGATGTCTGACGTCCCTCTACGGGGTATTGTTCATGGGCTATGTTTAATTTAGATGAGCCAACACGATTGTTCCAACGGGTACACCCAGTAGATGGGGAATGATGTTTGTTAATAAATAATTAGAGACTTACCTGATATAGTATCCCTGCGAGCGCATGCAACAGAACCTCAACTCAGAGTTAGGGTATTAAATTGGTTTCCACTCTTTTCATGTAAATATAGCGCAACACATACACAATTCGCCGACCGTCAGAATTTTACTATTTCCATTTTTAACTTGTCAGTAGAATGACAATATGCCAACAGCCTCATTCGTGTTTTTATGTTATCATTCCGTTCAAGTTACGGAGTTGTCGGATCTTTATTACATCACACGCGAGATAAGTCAGTAATACATTTTTAATTACGATTTTGTCTAGTGTGCCACAGCACCTTAGGGAACAAAACAAATGATGCAAATACATAGCAGGGGACATTCTACGGTTATTCAGATATGTGGTTGCAGATAAAATAGATTGTTTACAGGTGAACGCATTCTGTGACGTTTGAGAATTAATTGCGACAAAGGTCAGCATTTACGGAAGCAGTCATTGTTGTCATAGTAGCAAATCCACCTGGTTAGGCTGTATACAAAACTATGTTGACATCAAATAATCCATCTATGCAAATTAGGTCATTTGGAGTCACATCAGATGTTTTGTATACAAGGCACAGGACACTTCCTTCGGGCTACATATACAAATCATGACTGGTGGATATGGAATAATTTTGTCTAATGAATATTGGATTTGAAGAAAAACAGAATAATATTAACATGATTTATAGTGATTGGCGTAGATGCAACAAACAAATAAAATACATTTGTTACAAAGTGTATTGCTTATTATTGGCGAGTGTGACAGTAGCCAATTTATCATCATTACTGAGAATAAACTCTTTATATTTTTATAGATGTTCTATATCCTTTATTGCTGGTTGAATTACAATACGTGAATATTTTTCAAATTTCTACTTCCAAACCCGCTCACTTTATTTTTCATTTCATTCATCATATTTAACATAGCTATGACGTTGACACGAACAACAGTGAATTTAACCGTGAATATTTTAAGTTTCTAAAGCCATACCGGAAATGATCTGTAACCACGCTCGATTGCATATTGTGATCAGCCACCATCGTTTTCTTTGTAGGGAGACTGCCATCTACGTCGATTCAATGAAGTAGACTACTAGAAGTTAGTCAAGTCGTTTCTCATTTCCGACACTAGTAGCGCTGTAGCATAATGTCCCAACTTCCAATTGTGGCTGATATGACAATATTAACGGAAATTACAAAGCAACCATAAATATAATAATAATAGGATTGCTCTGAATAGTATCTAATATTCCCACAAATTAATGTCTATATATCAGGCGTGTCATAGAATCACAATACTTGTGTTTTTATTATTCAGAGTTCGTTTTGGACTACATGCTATGCATAGATATTTGGTAATCAAAGTTACTTCCATTGTTTTCCTCGAATATGTTAATTTTCATTCGAGTGCATTTTTCGGTGCTTGTGTTGACGAGTCCATTGTGGTATCCCCGTAAATAGTCAACTAATTATGATATGATGCGGTCAATCTGCAACTTATTGTCATAAATTGTCATGCATCAATGAAAGTATCAATGAAGCGTACTAATGAGCAGGAACTCGAAAACGTGTTTTGTATGGGAAGGTTCCATGGAGAGCAGGACTATTGAATACAAAGCCGTGTTCGGCTGTGATAGTATGTGTTACTAAATGGTATTACTGCCTTCTATTATAATCGTGCTACAATTAAATAGGGTCACATCTTACGGATCTGTCTCTGGGATAGTACATCGATTATTAAATCATCTGGCTTCGGGTGATTTCAGTAATTACCGTCCTTAGAAAGCAGGTTATGACCCGTCAATTGCGGTATATGGCATCAAACTGGGTAGGGTATATTTTGACAAACTTTGTAACACTGGAAGTAATACGTACCAAATGGCACTATTAAAAAAACTGGGCAGTGTTTGTATCGGGAACACCAAACAGATTGCACAAATACAGGCGTGTCAAAACGAAAAAAAAAAGTAAACAGAAACACACAAAACTATAACCTATGACACTACAATAATTATCGTTATTGTACTTGAGTTATTGTACTCTGAACCTTGACCTCTACATTTTTTTAAAAGATGAGGGAAAACTGAAAAAGGTCAGCTAAAATATCGTTTTCGCTTTCAGAAGTAGTTTGCTACCAGGCACTGTCAGTAATCTATTCGAAAGTTGCATAATCGAAGACATCATCGTATGCCACGGTATTGTCTGTGCTGCCCGTGACGCTTCGCACATCTGGTACAGTAAGTAACATTTATCAGCAAAATAAAAAATCAGATTTGTAATCAGAATATATTGTAATTGCATATGGATATGACATGGTGGTAGTGTGTACAAATCCTTAGCAGTCACTGGGTTGGTGTGGCTTATAAGCTGTTATATATATCTGGTAGCGTCGCTTATGCGTGGGCTTCGAATACGGACACAACGCTCAGCACCATTAATGTGGTGAAACCTCACTGACGCATCGTCTGAATCGCACAGTCCCGTATATTTGACCTATTGGCCTCTAGACGATACCGTGCGAGATCGCATAGGCTAATTGCGTATCTTAAGCAGTGATATCTGATTGGACGCGCCTCGAAACAAGACGCCCAATCAGCTTGGACGTACCAAATTATAAAACAAAACTCAACTTCCTGTTTTTGTCGCTATGAAGACATCCTTCCCATACAAAACTGCGTCGATTGCAAGTACCCGATGAAGCATGAGGGCACCAACACCGAAAACTTTCGCAATTTTATCATCACAAATCACGATTCATGGGCGCCGCCATTTTGATTAAAATGAAACGCCAAAGAGGGATTTGTAACACGCAAACTGATTGGACAATGATTAGACGCAACTGACTACTGGGGGCGCTGTTAGAATACGCATATTTGATGGTCGTTCTGCCAAGGTCTGTTTAGGGACTTGGTCGAATAAACTTAGACCTGGGCTAGCGAAGATGTCCGTACTGAACTTACATTGCACGGAATGCAAACATCAATTGACCTCACTGTGCTGACGCATGCGTTGTGGAACACGTAGAAAGAGCCCGAAGCATGCGCACTGCGTACACAATATGCAAATAACCTTTAACGAGGTTTTGACGAAGATATATCTTATGAAAATTATTTGAAAGTGAAATTATTAAGCGGGAGGGGGGGGGGGGGTTTGTCACATACGTCAGAAGGCCATAGCGTGTCATTGTTTACAAACAAGCGTCTACCCATGAGCCTTTGCGTTTTTAGCGTGCGCAGGTGACGACCCTCCCGCTTTAATCGAAAGCATTTAGTATAAAACGCTGGAATCACGTATATTTGTTCTTGACCCT